TCTGGTTTTCTTCAGAGATGGTAAGACCAAAGTTCAGTGGTTTCTTGTTTCACCTTATTTCTTTGGTCAGAGAAATTTGTGTAATAAGCATGGAGAGCTGAGGCATTTTACAAGATATTCTCCATTACTATTAGGTGCTTATTCATGTAATGCACATGCCTTTTAGGACTCCTAGTTTAATGAAGCATTTTCTACTTGAGCACTCTCATATAAGTTATCTGAATGGAATGCTGTCATCCATTCGCACTAAGAGAAGACGAACCGCATAAACAGGGGCTGAAAATGAGGACAAAATATGTAAAACTAGAAATTTAAGAAGCCAGGTGAGCTAAAAAATGGAATTCCCATGAGAAACCTTACAGCAGAAAAATTGAGATGTAGAAATTGAGTTTTATTTCTTTCCGCTATTGTTTACCCCTTTTTCATTTTTACTTGTTTACAATTTCTCTAGCATGGATAACCTGATTGTTGCTGTGTGTTTTAAACCAAAGTCACTTGTTAATTGTTATATTTTGGGATTGTGCTATACAGCAATATTTGAAGTATAATCATGTAGTGGTGCCCTTCGTTGGTGAAAATGTCATTTCAGTTTCTCTTCAATTAACCAAAAGTATCACAGTCTAAGGTGTATACCTTTATGTAGTTTTATTTGAATTCTATGAGGTGATGGTTGCATTGATGAATATTCTGGAATTTCATGTGCTCCTAAGTAGCATTCCCTATGCCGAATGATTTTGGAAATGTTGAATAATCTCAAACTACAGTTTTTCTTGTTAAAAAGTTTGTGGTTGGAGAGAACATTTATTTAAATTATATCTTTAGCATACCCTCTCACATGAGGCCTGAAATGAGTGCACTTGAACTCTAATGCTCTGGAATCACGTTGAATCATCTCATCTAAAAGTTTAAATATTTAGAGGGAAACAATCTTATTTATTCAAATTATGCCTTTAACACATTACTTAAATCAATTCAATTTTTGCAGGGTGTCTGTGGATGTGATAGATTTGCCAGTGGTTCAATCAGGGATGTTATACAAACAATAGTCAAGAAAGATGGTTACAGTGGTCTAATAAGAGGATGGATTCCTAGAATGCTCTTCCATGCTCCTGCGGCTGCGATTTGCTGGTCGACATATGAATCCGTGAAGGCATTTTTCCAAGAATCGAACTAGCAGTAGCGATGGCAACATTACATGAGAAACAATGCACAGACAGA